CGCTTCATTGACGTGAACCAAAACGTCCTTAATCTTCGACATAGCTCTGACGTCTGAATTGTGCAGGTTCAGTTCTCGTTGACGGCTCAGCGTTAGGCCTATTAGACGACGTTCAATTGATGCCTGAGCGGACTGAAGCCGCTTTTCCAGCGATTTTGTTAAGCGTAGCTGAGGGCAGGCAGCACTGACGAATTGAATAGGTCGAGACGGGTAGCGATAGGAGGTAGCGCTAGATTTGACTTTAGCAAAGAGTGATTAATTCCGTTAGAAATGTGAGGACATCACGCCACCTTCTCCTTGCCGCGCCCTTTTGAATGCCCTGAAAAATTCCTGAGGACAGCTAAAGTACCTTACTCACCTTCCATATTCCTCCTATCTGTAATCCGCAAAATGTACTCATATCTGCTTTGTGTTTTTTCTCCTATCAAAGCAATGCACTCAAAAACTATTGCCTCAACTTTGATAACGCCATACGGGTCAAAGTCCTCTTTTGATAAGCGAACGATGTATTGTGCCATAAGAGAGTTTCAATACAGGAACCCCGCACGAGACATTGTAGGCATCGACCCAGGGCACGACACAACTGATAGCGTGTCACTGTCGTCTTTGTGTATTGCGCGAGCTGGGTAGACGGGTTTTATTTAGCTCTAACACTGTCAGTGTTTGTCGATCTGAGAACACCTTGTGAACCCCACTCCAACCCTTACTCACTCTTTATTTCCTACCCTTTTGTACCAAGAGCCCATGTCATTCTCCTTCTCTGTGAGCTCAGTCCCTGGTTAGCTTTGCTGTTGGATCCAATTAGTTGATCTCGCGACGTCGATATGACCTTTAGCCCCCTCCAAAGTAGAAGTTTGTAATGGTAACTCAATCTTCCAACAAACTCACTTCCAAGGCAATTTCATATCAACGTTTAGTATTTAAGCCTTGACAAGTACTTTCTACTAGGCCTTCTCACTCGTTTGTAGGTACTTTCTACTAGGTCTTTTCATTCGTTTTGTGCCTATGAGCCTTATTTTTCACCTTCTGTCATCCCATATGTTTTCATACGGTTGAGTCTATCTCCTAATTCCATTATAGTTTGCTACAGTACCATGCTCATCTTTTTGAAGAAAAAAGTAAATTTTAATCAACCCGTGGTGAGACGAAGTAGCTTAACTAATTGCCCTGTTGATAATTGTTGCTTCTTCAATGTTTAGTAAGGCATGGATCTGTTCCAAAGCTTCATTATGCATGGGCAGGAGCAATATGAGATTTCCAAAGATTTTACTCAGAACTCACTCATTTTCTACAGAAAATAATCAAGTTCTCGGGACGTTTTGTGGTGGTCTTTTTTTTGTCCTGTTTCATCCTATGAAGTAGTGGCCAAAGAAGGAATCATCAAGACCTTCGAGGATTTGTTTGTCAGGATCGTACAATGTCGGATATTTTGCCAGCTCGTCCTCTTATCCCATGACCTGCACTATCTCGTCGCCCAGTTCATAATGAAAACACCCTTCCGCGAATCCCCAAAATAGCCATAACCTTGATCACATTGATTATCGTTGTTTTGGCCATAACTTATCGTTAGCGTCCTCGTGATAACATTCGCGTAGCGAATTGCTGCAGAAAACAGTGGTTAACAAAACAAAGCCTGTCAAATTGCATAGTTATGCCAAAGGGTTTTGCCCAGCTATTTTCAATTCTGCTAAAAAATAAAACTCGTATAATGTATGATGATTGATATAAGTTGAAATGCATCATCCGGGATGCGCCAAGGACTCAAATTCAGTTGTATTGATTGCTAACGATTTGACCGAGGATGAAGGAGTCTTGGTTAAACAGCGTTTCTAGTCACGATAAGGTCCGGTGAGCTCTCCTCGAGGGAATGAAGGCTTGGCTAGCCTGGGGTCAGCTCTATAGGTTATAATGGGATCACCCGCACTCTGCTGACTTGGACTAAATTCGGTCCTTACGCAGCCCCAACGGGCGGACTTGAATAAGGCGCATCCAGATGGCGATTATCATTATTTAGTAATTTTTAAGCATGTCAGGCATAGGAACTCGGTCGGTGTCAAGCTATTTTTCTCGAATGTATCATGGACTTTTAGCCCTTAGCCTGGTCTTGTAGGTCTAATTAGTTTCATAGTTTCTGTGTTTTACTATTATTCCTTTCACATATCAAAGAAACATTTCACCGATCGATGAAATCAAGTTTAATTTGGAAAAATTTCTGTCACATTTTAGATATGTGGGCGATTTTTCCTGGCGCGATCGCTCTACTAGGATCAGTATTTTTACTGTTCATTCGAAATCGAACGAAAAAAGCCGTCTCTAGACCACCGAATGTCTCCATAGAGAAGCAGTCAATTCCAGTGAAGGTATGGAGCTGCAACAAGCTTTCTTCTATTTTTAGGAATGTTCTAGATTGTCTCTCACCCTAAGGAACTTAGAGGTACACTCCCGATCACTAGAAGAAAAGGAAGTTCCAGCAAAAGCGTGCTAAATGGACCATTGGAGCCACAAAGTTGTGAGGGAGAGTTACAACTCGTAAGGTTAACACTACGACTACATACCCCGTCTGTAACTCGAACTGACGTCGTGAACTGGATGTGCGCCTCGCTTCTAGGGTATCCCGTCTACGTCTCTGCCTTCTCGCCGCGCAACCGGCCTCCTGTCCGGTACCCTGCCTTCTCGACGTCTTCTCCTTTGTCCCTACCACTCGTGTTTTCTTGACGTAAACTATGATGCTTATAATGAACTCCTCAAAAAAGGACTTTATAAGGGTGTCTAAGATTTTGTTTCCTCATGTTTTTACTAAAGGGTCACTTGACACCTACAGCTCTAAATTGGATCCCTCCTACCCACACTTTTCATCGGGTGCAGTGTCTTTAAGGGTGCGAAAGAGCTCGTCTCACTTCCCTTACGTCAGGTGGTGACAGCGGTATAACGTTGAGTCAGAACCACCTTCAGGAAGTTAGAACCGCGTGATAGTTTGTCGCAGTCACATGACAGCATCTGGGTTCTGTTCAAAAGATCCTTCTGGAATTTTGGTTCATAGGAGGGGTTCCCAAAGCATCGAAGGGTAACTAATTTGGAAAGAGAAGATTTTTTCATTTTCCATACATTTTTTATTTCCATTTTTATTTTTTCAGTTTTTATTCAATCTATCTTAGGATGAACCTGGTGTCTACAAAAGCGGACTGCTCCCGTCGGATGATCAGCTGGTTATCGAGAACATGTACCCAGGCCTAAACACCTTATACGACTTATTCTGCAAAGGGCTAAAGGTGAGCATTTGACTTTACTCGGGAATTTTCGGTGACTACTTTCAGTCTAGGGGGGGTCATCATTGATCGGCTTCTGTGGCGAACTAGTGTGAACTTAACTTCAGCCTTTCACACATTAGTGACATGCCCCACCGCACGCCTCTAAAACGTACACTCCCTGGCTTCGGATGTACTTGGTTTCTGGATGCATCATATCCCTCGCTAACTGGAATAGACCCAAATTTTCCCTCGGTCTTTTTTACCCTTAGTTTACCTTGTTGTCCTACTTTGAAGCTATCAGATCTCTAACATTCGCATTTCGTTGACATTATTCTCATGTGAGGAAATAAAATTGGCACTCTCTTGCAAATTTTCAAGGAAAAAAGACATTTATGATTTTACGAGCTTATCATTTTTATGATGCACCAAAGTCTCATCCGTAGTAGACCTTGCACTTTGCCCATTGTTTTCAGAAAGGAGTGTAGCAGGAACCTCTGCGGATTAGCACTTACTTTAGTCCAAATGGTAAGCAATTTTTTGCGTCGACTCCTTAAGAGACGTGCTACCAGCCGCATTCCAGTGTGGCCTTAAAAACCCTTATTGATTTTTAGCATAACTATGTACTTCTTGTAAACAACTAAGCGGCAGAAAATGTTTCTCACATGTGTCTCCATTTTCTTTCTGCATCACCACATATGATTCAAGAGTTTTTTCAAACCAGTGTCAAAAAAACAGGTGTGTGTCAGGAGATCCACCGGCAGATCACTGCGCGGCAATCGCGCGGAGCTGCATGTGGACTAGGGTTCACTAGAATTCGAATTACTTCTTATTGTTGTCTTTTGTAGAGGGAGTAGAGGAGTCGGCAATACAGAAATGGTGGTAAGGTAACATTTTTAAATTCGACTTCTTCATAGGGGATGCATTCCGTTTCTTTCACTTCTTTCTCATCATATTTTTTTATCGAATTAATATTGGGGGGTGAACCAAGTCCATGAGAGATTGACTCTCTAGAGTAGTCCTTAGTGCTTTGTTTTCCTCACAAACCCTCCCTTTCGAAATGAAGAGCGTCGGGTGCAGACCATACACCACAAGTGACGACGGCCTTCCACAAAATGTGTTTTCTGCCAATGAAATGATTAGCCTGTTGCAGTTGTATTCTATCAGTTGTCACTAATTACAACTATCATTTACCAAAAATCAGCTATCACTATGAACCACTACTAACCAGATTTACTTGGAGGCCGTCGTCACTTGTGGTGTATGGTCTGCACCCGACGCTCTTCTCGTTTTTTGAAAGGAGGGTACATGTGCTCGATTTTCAGGAAAGCAGAGATGGTCCATGTTTGGGAACTCGAGGCTCCGATGGTCAGTATCGCTTCCAAAGATATTCCGAAGTGCTGAAGGATGCGAGCAATTTCGCCTCTGCGGCTATAGGCGAACTCGAAATGAAAGCAGGTAAGAGGCCCACTTGCAACACTGTATCGAAAAACATTACTTTTTCTAGATTGAAGGCTAAGAACAC